GTTTTTCCAATTACATGTCCAATGGAATTGTTTTTTTTTTTTTTTGGAGGCGGAGTCTTGCTCTGTCGCCCAGGCTGGAGTGCAGTGGCACTATCTCGGCTCACTGCAAGCTCCGCCTCCTGGGTTCACGCCATTCTCCTGCCTCAGCCTCCCGAGCAGCTGGGACTACAGGCACCTGCCACCACGCCCGGCTAATTTTTTTGTATTTTTAGTAGAGATGGGGTTTCACCGTGTTAGCCAGGATGGTCTCGATCTCCTGACCTCGTGATCCACCCACCTCGGCCTCCCAAAGTGCTGGGATTACAGGCTTGAGCCACCGCGCCCTTGTAGTACAATATTTTTCTCCAATTACATGTCCATAATGAATTGCTTTTTTGGAGGCGGAGCCCTGCTCTGGTCTGCGCTGGAGTGTGAGTGGCACCATTCTGCTCACTGCAAGGCTCCACCGGGAAGTTCACGCCATTCCTCCTCCTGCCTCAGCCTCCCCTGGCAGCTGGGACTACAGGCACCTGCCACTACTACCGGCCAATTTTTTTGTATTTTTAGTAGAGATGGGGTTTCACCGCAAGCAGCCAGGAATGGTCCCGATCTCCTGACCTCGTGATCCACCCACCTCGGCCTCCCAAAGTGCTGGGATTACAGGCTTGAGCCACCGCGCCCGGCCTTTTTTTTTTTTTTTTTTTTTTTTTTTTTTTTTTTGAGACGGAGTCTTGCTCTGTCGCCCGGCAGAGTGCAGTGGCTGGATCTCAGCTCACTGCAAGCTCCGCCTCCGGGTTCACGATTCCCTCCCCGCCTCAGCCTCCGAGTAGCCTGGGACTACAGGCGCCTGCCATCTCGCCCGGCTAGTTTTTTTGTATTTTTAGAGACAGGTGGTTTCACCTGGCTAGCCAGGATGTCCCATCTCCACCCTGACCGCCTGGCCTCAGCCTCCCAAAGTGCTGGGATTACAGGCTTGAGCCACCGCGCCCGGCCTGGAATTGTTAATTTCTATCACTATAGTTGACATTAGTGCCATTAAGGTGATATATTCCATCTGTATAATCAATGCAATTGGATATTTGTGTTGACTAGGTGTTTGAGACCTAGATTATCTGGATTTTTGTAAATAGTCAAGAAAGCTAGACTGATGGTAGAAAATTACATTTAGAACTTAATTTAATTTTATTCCTTCCATTTTTCCCTCACCCACAACCCAAGAATGCAGCTGAATAAGGAGATAAAGTGCCTAAGTGCTTAGAGAATCAGTAGGCAGCAGCCCTCCTCCACCAAATTCATATAGTTAGCCACCTGCAATAAGCTGCAGGAGAATCCCATCCATTCTCCTTCAGCAAGAAAGTTAGGTTTATACGTTGCAAGTATACTTCTGGAGAAAAAATTTAATTCAGAACAAAGGGGAAGATTGGGTTTTTTTGAAATATGTTTATAATGGCGGTAAGTTAACACAGAGAAAAAGAGAGAAAGACTTTATAGCTTGCAAACACTGTCAGGTCCACAAAGCATTTACTGATCTTTATATCAGGTGGAAACAATAAATCTCTCTTCTCCAGCTTCCACACTAGAAACTCCCTCATATCTGTCTGAAGCTTCAAATGGAATTACAATAGTCTATAGCTAAGATTTACTCTTTCCCTCCGTCTCTGTTCCATAACAACACAATCATCTCATCATTATCACTCCCTACAATAATGCCTTTGGAGGCACATTCTTTTGTTAAGGAAATAAAAGATATTTTCATTAGATGTGGAAAATTTTTAAAAGATACAATAAGGGTAATTATGCCTACTCCAGATTTCTATTACATGGTACTTTTAAATTCAGAATCCAATGACAGGGTCATCTCTCTTCCTCTCTTCTGCCCTATGAAATCAATAGTAGATTGGTAGATAAATACATAGATACAAATAGATAAATTAGATCTTTCAAATATCCTATTAAAATAAATTTAGGTTTATATGTGTAAATACTATGATAAAAACACAAATTGTAAGAATCTCTGCATCCCTTCCTTTTTAGAAAATAACAAACTCCTTAAGCCAAAAAGCAAATAATTGGTAAGACAACATTTAAAATCAAGACATGATTCATACACAAATTAAACCAATCACACAAGGGAAAAAATGAAATTGGAAGAAAGCAAACAGATTCAGAATGACCATGCACTGACTGAATTTGGTCAATAGTCATTATAAGATACTTATTTCCTTTTGTTAAGGTCTACATAAACGTACTGATTGAAGGTAATAAGCTTCTTACTAGTACAATGATAGGTTTTTCTTAAATTTGCTGAAGGGGTTATATGAATTTTTCTTCCACAAGTTCTTGATTTCTCTTGGGAAGACTTTATACAAGAAAGAAGTTGGAAGAAATATAAAATATTTCTGAAATTTCATTCCTGAAATGTTTGAAACAGAATTACAAGAAAATAGGTGGCAGAGCAGTGAGTGGGGATATAGAATTGTAAGTATTTTCCCAAAATAACTGAAACATCTCAAGTCCCCGGCACAGAAACAACAAATATCTGCTTAATAAAATACTATTGAATTTCTTTAAAATATAGTTAGATCATGTAGACAGAACTTATTTTTTCCTCCTAGTATATAGTGTAAGTTGACTGGTGTAGAAGATCAAGCATTCAAGGAAAATACTTTTTTTTTTAATTGGGCTAATGACTGAAACCATATTTTGCTGCACAGATTTGGGGTTCTGGCTCATGACACAGTAAAATTAAGCATGCACAGGGGGCGCATACAGTAAATATATGAAATAATAAAAATTAAAATAACAGGACATAACAATTATTTACATTTGCATATTCTGTTTTTCTACTTTGTTTTTGCTGTTGTTTTTATTTTTCTAAAGTGCATTTGTATTCCTTATATTTTTTGGTTCTTCCAACATTTGTGTGGTATACTTAAAATATCTTTACATTCACTCTAAATTTACTCATATTTATTGACCAGACATGGTGACTCTCGCTTGTAATCCCCAGAACTTTGGGAGGCCAAGGCAGGCAGATTACCTGAGGTCAGGAGTTCAAGACCAGTCTGGCCAACATGGCAAAACCCCATCTCTGCTAAAAATACAAAAATTAGCTGAGCATGGTGGTGGGCACCTGTAATCCCAGCTACTCGGGAGGCTAAGGCAGGAGAATTGCTTGAACCCAGGAGGTAGGTTGCAATGAGTTGAGATCACAACACTCCACACCAGCCTGGGTGACAGAGTGAGACTATGTCTCAAAAAAAAAAAAAAAAAAACTGTTGCCCAACCACAATGTGCCAGGCATATTGTAGTCATAAAATTTGGCAGTATATAAAATAGATAAAAATCCCTGCTTGATGAAATTGATCAAAATTCACCCAGAAAAGGAAAGAGAGCCAAGAAGCTACAGTTGATGATATATGTCCTATTTGGCCTTATTTCACCTTCCATACTACCTTTCAACAGTATAAAATATATTTAATATACCGACAAAATAGAGTCCTATTCACTTAGCTCCTAATATCTCGAGAGTTCCTTCCATTAGTGACCTTTCCACCAGTATCAAAAAAAAGTGTCAAAAACAGCTCTAACACTGAACAAAGTCATATCAGACATGGAGAAAATAAGAACGGGTATGTGAGTATACATACACAACTCGCATAAATATATAAACTTATAACTACATATATATGTATATAAAACACTTCTATAAGTAAAACAAAACAAGCTAATACAAACGCAAATAAAAAAACAGTTTCTTCTATATGGTGTTCAATTTATAAATGCTTATTTATAGGAGAATAGGAGAAAACCCGAAGTCTAAAGCTATTGATAAGACAATCCAAAAGTTATTTAAGCAGTGGATTATACAAATGAAACAATGTACTCTCCATGACTTGAGTATAAAATTACTGAAAGAAGAATTACTGACATTTCATACCTGATTTGACATCCCACAGTCAGCACAGTTGCCATCATTAATGTATATCTAGAGAACTGCAAATTGCATGGCAATTTAAATGTGGTACTTGCTAGATATACAAAATTACTGGCCATTGACTAAGTTATAATGACAAAATCTAAACAAGAATGTAATAATAAATTAGGTAAGAATAAAACCAAAATATGACAGTAGCCTTTGCACTGTACTCCTACTATGCCATATTCCTATATTCCCCTTGAGTATAAAGAAAGAAGTGTCCTCATTCTTAGGAAATAGGTTAGAGAATGCCTCTAGAGAGACCCTATCCTTGATCAAGTCTTATCTATCTCATCCGTCTCCAGTTTGTTTTTTACTTATCTTTTACCTTCAAACATGAATTTCCAACTCTAATAAACTTAGATTCCGCTTCACAGGTGCTGCTATCTTTCTCTATTTTTATCAAATATCTTGAATCAGAGATGCACGCCCATAATATCCTTTGTTTACTCACCATATATTCCCTCTTTAAACTTTGTTAAATAGGTCTTTATCTCAGTTGCAGGATTGGCATCGCTTTTCTAAGGCCACTAGCAACCTCACTTACACTGGATTTGAAAAGACCATCCTTAAATTTCATTATTTTGCAAATATCAACCACTGGGTCCTTGCTCCCAGCTGCTCCCAGTCACCTCCCATCCTACAAACACGCAAAAAATCCTGTCACCTCTATTCTTTTTATTATTTCTGTTTATTTCTCCCTAATTCTCTGTTGTTCTTATTTTTTTCTCTCTCAGAGTATTTGTCAATTTTCAAGATACTAGCTATCACCTCTAAAGTAACTATCTTCAACCACAAGCTCTTAGCCAGATTCCAATCCCATATCTTCAATCTTCCATTTATTAAATCAACTGGCAGGCACTGAACTGAGCTTGGTGATTCCGTAATACAAACCCTTAAAGATCTCACAGTCCAGAGCTAATCATTTTTACTAAATTCAAAATATCCAAATCCAAAGCTATCATTATATTTCTCCCAAATGCCACCTTCCCATTGCTGAATCTTGCACTTCTGTTAATGCCATGACAATTCTCAAACTCACCATCACGAGTTGGATTCTCCAGGAAGCAGACTCTAAGAGGGAGATTAGCATGCAGGAAACTTATTAGGGAGTGCTCTTGGCATCAACAACCGTGAAAGGGTAGAGAAGAAAGCAGAATTGGGCACAAGGAGAAGTCAGACTATGATGAAGACTCAATGAAAGCCTCAGCTGACCCTACATAGAGCTCTGATCTCAGAGTTGCCTAAGTTAAAGTGAGAAGGCCTAGCTTTCTTATCCCACGCTGATTAGTCATGGGAATGGGGCACGACTTTGAGCAAGGCAGCTCTAGCTCTCCTCAGGCCAGGCAATACATAGAGAGGACAAATGATTAACGGCTGACTGTCAACAGAACTCCTAGCATCTAGAGGAATGAGTCCTTTATTACTAAAGGGACATCTAGGCAGTGAATCACGATGTCCACCACATTCACCAAAGCGTGAAATATATGAAACACTGAAAGGCATATGAGGTTTGTAGTTAAACAGAACAAGATTCCAACCTTACTTCCGTCAGTAATTAACTATCATCATAGGCAAGTTGCTCAACTTCTCTGAATTGAAATTTTCCTATGAGATTATTTTGAAAAATTAGTGATACGTATTATAAAAACATTTGATAAATTCTGGCTCCATAGTGGTTGCTTAATACATGTTAATTCTCCTTCTCCCTTCCCCCATGAGTTATTTTTAACTATTCTCTTTCTTTTCCAAGCCCCAAGACTTCCTCCGAAATGACACTAATTGAAAGTATCAAGATACCTGGTAAGAAGGTGTTAGAGAAAAGCCCTAAAATCCATTGATCATATGCTATAGTCCAAATACTGTGCTAGGCATTACTATACTTTTAATCTTCATAATGCTATGAATTGTTAACCTCATTTTATACACAAGAAACTGATCCTCAGAGAGGCTAATTTATCCAATGACGCCCAAGATAACAAAAAGAGTTTGCCAGACTGCAAATCTCCTCTTTTCCCAGAATGTAGAGTTAAAGAACCTGAAGGAATATTTTGTTTTACAAGAAAGAAGTGAAGCAGCGCAAGGAAGCCATGAGTAATAGTAAACACAATGTCTTCCATTCACTGTTCACATTTTATTACATATTTACTCTTTAGTGAGAGATTAGTGAGATAGATGTGATTTCAGAGATGGGAAGTGGAGATAAAAGTTATTTCTCCAAAGTCAAATTAGAACAAAAATCAGAATGCAGCATTTATCGAGTTGTAGGATCAACCTCCAACCATTCTGTGCATGCACATACACAGACGGTCTGATAGATATTTTTCAAGGAAAACAAGACAAGCACATTCACCAAATTATACAGAAGTCTAAAAGACAGGAAAATAGTTTGTTAAAATCTACTCACAGTATCTTTCCCTTGCCTAAGAGACTCCCTGGTGGAATGTGAGAAATGGTACGCACATTAACTTGGTCAGACCACAAGGACCATTTACTTCCTCAGTGCTTCTGCGTAGAGCAAGTTTGCTGTTATCAAGCACTTGACTATCTAAAACACTGCCCACACCAGGATGTTCACACATCTATAGCAGAGTGATAGTTAATACTCATAAGGACAACACTGAGGCACTGAAACACACAGGTGAACTTTGGGACTAGGAAGGACTGACTAACAAATTTAAAATTCTTTCACTCTTAAGTGTATTTCACTGAATTTCATCTGCTCTCTTAACAAATTGGTCCTGCATATGCGATAGCTCACTTAGAATGTTTGATTCACCAGAATGAATTTCTACCTTTTTAAGTGAGAAAATATCCACTGCACTCTCCAACACAACCTCAAATGTTCTGGTGGTCACTGCTACTCTAAAACCCATAGACTGTCTTATACTCAAGAAGTGATGTATCAAGTCTGAGCCAAGAAAACCTTACAATATACCAACTATTCACTGGAACCATAAAAAAATGCATGAATGATGTAGCTAAATATCCTTGGGCTTTTCAAGGATTAGTCCTAACTTTGAAAGCATGATATAAATACTAATCAAGCAGTTAATTAGAACTGAGTTTCTCAAAGACTAACTAGTTACCGGTTACCTGATTCTGGTTTAGAAGTGGGGTACACAAATCAGCTACTCCAATAGAGTGAACTGAATAGTGAAAGAACGCTCTAGATATATTCTAAATAGTCTTAATTTCAGATTGGTGTTCAAACAGAAAGGCCAGAAATGCCTTTGGATTATTGCAGTTTTCCCCATTTGGACAATCAGTCATTATTCCTTAAGACATAACCCTCCACGCCAACGGATTGCCCCCAAACACCTCAAGTTCAATCTGACATATAAGCCTTCTAATGTATAAACAATACTATCATTGCTTTATACCTCTGCATGTCATACTCATCTTCCCAATTTGATCTACATATTCATTATCTCCAACCTCAACAGGGCCCTCAAAAAACACCCAATAATATTTCTTCCTATTCCTAGGCAGTTCTCTTCCCCAATCTTTAAATAAGCAATTTCTAACTTTACACTTTTTTCAAGGATACGGTCCCTCCCTGTGCTACTATTGTGTCCACTAATGATTATTGTAAGATAGATATATGGATATGCTGGTTTGTAGAATTTTATTCAATAGAATGTTTGGTAATACAGGATTTCTTACATGCTAATATAATAATGAACAACATAGCATGATAGATTTACTGTCCCTCTATCTTACAGATACACATCTCTTTAGGGGATAATATAGATACCCTTGTAAGTGGCAGCACATCAGTGCCCCCAAATAACTGTTGTGTCTACAGCCATTTTAAGATAATCATACTATCCGGCCTGGTGCAGTGGCTCATGCCTGTAATCTCAGTACTTTGGGAGGCCAAGGCAGGCAGATCACCTGAGGTCAGTTCAAGACCAGCCTGGCCAACATGGCGAAACTCCTACTAAACATACAAAAATTAGCCAGGCATGGTGGCATGCACCTGTAATCCCAGCTACTCAGGAGGCTGAGGCAGGAGAATCGCTGGAACCTGGTGGGCAGAGGCTGCAGTGAGCTAAGATTGTGCCACTGTACTCCAGCTTGAGTGACAATGCAAGACTCCATCTCAAAAAAATAATAATAATAATCACACTACCCAAAGTGAGGCAATTTGCATAAAATCTACAGATTATTATGAAGTCCAAATAAAATGTCAGGTAGGAGAATGTTTAGAAAATCTTAACGCATTCTAAAAAATAATGTTATAACTATACTCCCATTTATGTCTGAGAAAAAGCTACAAAGAGAACAGTCAGATAAAATAATCAATTAAAAATCACAAAATCATTATAGCCAAAAAGGCAGTACCAAATACACCACGAACTACACAAGGACTTACTCATTCTTTTAACAAACATTTATTGAGTGTCTTTATAATTCAGACACTCTGCTAGGCATGGGCATACATAGATAAATAAGATAGGATTTCTATCTCAAAGAGGCAGAATAAACCAAAATCAAGGTACAATACAGTAAGTCCAATAACAGAGATGTGAGTGATAACTTAGGATTCTATAGGGGGAAAAATGTAGCAACAGATATCAGGATATATGTGTACGTGTGTGAACTTAGGATTCTATAGGGGGAAAAATGTAGCAACAGATATTAGGATATATGTGTACGTGTGTGTGTGTACATAAAAACAGTCAGAAAAACCATCCTCTCCCTGTATTAAGTTGGAGGGTTCATGTATGAAGCAGCATAGACATAAAGCAACATGAAATGGAGGCATGTTTTAGAACATTCTGATTTTTGCCATTGGCCACAGCAGACTCACGCATAACAAATAGTATACAGTGAAAGGAAAATGAGTCAAGTAGACTTTATGGACTTACAATTAAGGTAACATCAGGACCTCCACACAGATAACTTCCTTTCATGATATATTATTAGAGTTGTCTGCAAATACATATTCTTCAAATGTTAGATCACCATTTATTTACTCGGAGAATTCTATTAGAGATCCCCCCACCCAACTTCGCCATTGAATGAATGGCTAAGGATGCAGAGATGAGCAAGCATTAATGTTAGTGTCATATTTTGGTTAAGGTTTCAGAGGTGGCCCTATATATCTGATATCTGAACCTCCTATTGTTTTCTTTCTAGCAAAAAAAAAAAAAAAATTCTAGCATTCAGATCTGTTTTTTCTTTTACCTTTTTACTTTTTAATTTTTCATTGGCATGTAAACAAATCACTCCTCCAAAATGAACCAGTAGATGGAGCATTTGAGAACTGTTGTGTCAGTCTCACTCTGAAAAACACAAGTGCTGATGATAATGTCAAATTCACCCTCATAACCACCCTTCTTTTTTTCTATAATCCCCAACCTTTTCAAATATTTGTTTCTCTGTTTTGGAAAAAGGGGTCACAAGATACTTATAGTAATGACATGTGAACTACTGAACATAAACATAAGCAGTTAACAAAACATCCTCAGGAAAAATGGGCAGAGTCCACAGATAATTAAAGCTACAAATGGTGAAACATCAAATACTTTCTACTATTCAACCAAAAAGATTATTTTGACCACAAAAGATACAGCCATAGGATATGGGGATAACAGCATCAATTCACCACCTTTATCCCCGTCCCAGTTAAGGTAATAGTTGTCTAAGGATACATTAATCCCAAAGGAAGCGGCTTACAGGATCATTCTTTCTGAAATTCAGCCCATAGAGCTCACTGCTCAGTAGTCCTCAAGGTGTGGAATTCAGTCACCTCTAGACATACCTTCATGCTGAGCAATTACCTGGAGTTTTGTTCAAAATGTAGTCTGGGCCCCTCCCTGGAACTATCCAACCAGATCCTCTGAGGATGAGGCCCAGGAATCTGCATTATAACAATTTTCCTCAGATATGTCGAGTTCAATGAAGCTCGAGAGCTACTAGATTAAATGAAGAACTGTTGAATAAGCCTCAAATAAAGCCTGCTCTGGAAGTGATTTCTCACTATTTATAAGAATGTTTACTCTTTCTCAATTCCCTGCAACAGCCCCAGCAAATTTCCCATCTTCTGAGTTATTTCCTACTGCCCTACTTCCTAAATGACTCTAGCCCTCAATGTTATAAGGTACTCTGAGCTAACAGCATGTAATTCTAGATCTTCAGATCCTGTCCTGAAGTGATGTTTAAGGGCCATAATTATGTCATTTCCATCTCCTAGTAGTGCATTTTTGGCAACAGTAGCCTACTTGTTGACAAACATTTCTTCTCATTTCACAGAGAATTGTACAGAAAATATAAGCAATCCAGACTGTAGAAGAATCGTTCCATTTACCTAACTTCTTAAAATATTATATAAATGGACGACTCAAAGAGTCCAAGGAGGAGGATACTGTTCTATCTGCTCTTTTTGTAAAATGACTTCCTTCTGAAGTTTCGCTTGAAAAAGCAGGTGTACGCAAAATTCAAACAGGTTCGCAAACTTGAATATGTCTATCACAGGCTGGATGAAAAATCTAAATATTTTGGTTGATGGAACCAAATATACCACCAAAAAAATCAAACACAAAAGAAACATTAACATAATTGAACAATTAAACAAAAATATGTATCCACTTCTCCTGAACATTTATTTATTTATTTTTTGAGATGCAGTCTTGCTCCATTGCCCAGGCTAGAGTACAGTGGCATGATCTCGGCTCACTGCAACCTCCCCCTCCCGAGTTCAAGCTATTCTCCTGCCTCAGCCTCCCAAGTAGCAGGATTACAGGCACCCACCGCCACACCTGGCTAATTTTTGTATTTTTGGTAGAGACAGGTTTCACCATATTGGCCAGGCTCGTCTAGAACTCCTGACCTCAGGCAATCCATCTGCCTCAGCCTCCCAAAGTGCTGGGATTGCAGCCATGAACCACTGCGCTCAGCCCTCCTGAGCATTTTACTGAACAACCATACTATGCTAAACACAAGTTAAACATAATATCAAGGACAGAGGCTTTAAATGTTAAACTAACTCACTGGCTCACACATCGAACAAAGGGCCTGTGAAGAAAACCTGCTCAATAGATAGCCCTTGCAAATATTCTCCTGGCCTATGTGCCTACATGTGTGTAAAATATCAAAAAATATTATACCTTCCTAATAACTCATGATCAACAATGTATATGCCAAATGATAGTACATTTATTTTCCTATCAGATTCAATAAAATATTTATATTATGTTTTATTTTACTTACAGCTCTGTATAATTAGCAGCAACAAGACAAAAAGGTGAACAAAAAGACTGATGACATACATGGGAAAAATATGTAATAGCACCCAAGTACTTCACCCACGCATCTCAGAGTCCTTATAGGTAAATAAACTATACACTAAAAAGGAATATATACTCACTTCTGACCTCTCCTTACAAACTAATAATCACTGATGTCATTTCTCATTGTCAAAATTTATCTATAAAGTAAAAGTTTTACTCTTCAGAAGGCTGAGGCAGGAGCAAGACCCTATCTCAAAAAAAAAAAAAAAAAAAGGACAAAGACAAAAGAAAGCCTAGCCATTGAACCAATAGCCAAAAAAGGGAGCACCGTAAAACATAAACAGCATTAGCTATGTGATTATCGCATCTCACTATCAAAGCCTTTGAACACACATACAGATTAGTTTGAATGCAGTAGATGAAGAATGCTTGGAATTCTCAGGCAGATGAAATAAATTATTTCTCTTTCACCTACAGTTTTTCTAATTTAAAATTAACTTGCCATGAAATATCTACATTCTACCAAATATATATGTTCTTGTATTTTTATAGAATTTATAAAGTAGTTTTCATATTGCCACACAGCATTCAGTAATCTGATGGAAATGTTTGAATCTGCAATTTTTACATGTCTGTGTACATGCATGAGTCATACCCAGTGGCCAAAAAGGGACTCCAGTTTTAATTTTTTTAATGGATTGTCAGGCTATGCCAACAAAATAAAATGCTTGTTATAACTTTGTTTTTTTGTGTGTGTTTTTTTTTGGGTTTTTTTTGGTACTTGACATCGATTAACTTATTCTATAAACTTTTCCAATTAGGTGACGAGCAAGTGGATTATTGAGAAAAAAAGAAAAGAAAAAATTTAGATCACTTTGAGGCATTCAAATTCAGTTAAAATTAATAGATCTCACCCTGAAACTATCATCTACTGAGTTTGGGAAGCTTTACAAAGAATATTCCTCCTTGTTCACAACAAATCTACAAAGTAGTTATTATTCCTAATTCACAAAAGAGGAAACTAAGGCTCAGAGAAGATATGAGTTAGTTTTCCCAGGGACTCATACTTAGTAAGGGGTTCAGCAGAGGATTACGCAAACCTAAATTTGCCAGACTCCAAAACTTTGTGCGTTCAACTCTGCCATATTGTTTCTAAATGATTAGGGATAAGGTAAAGAAAGGCAATAGACTGCCCTTAAATTCTAATTTCGGATTACAGTATCTGTTTTCATCAAATGTGAAAACACTAAACAATTGAAATAGACTTTGTATAATTTTATAATGGTAATGAATCTGTTTCTATAACTTTATTAGCCAAATTATGCCCCAAATTTTAAAAGCTTTAATTAAACTACCTAAATTTGTCAAATATCCTACCTTACAAATATATTTTGTATGTTTTTTATTGTCTACATGTTAGTTACACTCATACTTCCTTTTTTTTTTTTTTTTTTTTTTTTTTTTTGAGACGGAGTCTCCCTCTGTCGCCCAGGCTGGAGTGCAGTGGCCGGATCTCAGCTCACTGCAAGCTCTGCCTCCCGGGTTTACGCCATTCTTTTGCCTCAGCCTCCCGAGTAGCTGGGACTACAGGCACCCGCCACCTCGCCCGGCTAGTTTTTTTGTATTTTTTAGTAGAGACAGGGTTTCACCGGGTTAGCCAGGA